CTCCTGCCCTGTAGATGAGTGTAAACTGCAGACTCCTGGCCCGTAGATGAGTGTAAACTGCAGAGTCCTGGTCTGTAGATGAGTGTAAACTGCAGACTCCTGGCCCGTAGATGAGTGTAAACTGTAGAGTCCTGGCCCGTAGATGAGTGTAAACTGCAGAGTCCTGGTCTGTAGTTGAGTGTAAACTGTAGACTCCTGGTCTGTAGTTGAGTGTAAACTGTAGAGTCCTGGCCCGTAGATGAGTGTAAACTGCAGAGTCCTGGTCTGTAGTTGAGTGTAAACTGTAGACTCCTGGTCTGTAGTTGAGTGTAAACTGCAGAGTCCTGCCCCGTAGATGAGTGTAAACTGCAGAGTCCTGGTCTGTAGATGAGTGTAAACTGCAGACTCCTGGCCCGTAGATGAGTGTAAACTGCAGAGTCCTGGTCTGTAGATGAGTGTAAACTGTAGACTCCTGGCCTGTAGATGAGTGTAAACTGCAGAGTCCTGGTCTGTAGATGAGTGTAAACTGCAGACTCCTGGCCTGTAGATGAGTGTAAACTGAAGAGTCCTGGTCTGATGATATTGCTCTTCTGTGCTGGGCCATCGTTTTGGCCAGTGGCTGCTTTGTTTCCCTGATGTATAGCTGATCACTGTCCTCTTGGCACTYAACAGCATACACAACATTGCTCTGTTTGTGCCAGGGGGGCAGATCTTTGGGGTGAAACAGTCTTTGCYGTAATGCGTTCTGKGGTTTGAAAGCCACTGGGGTGTCATGTTTCTCTGAAACTCCCACAACATACGGAATGACCTCTGGTCTGAGTTTGGGTTTAGGGTCCTTCTTTTCACCCGATGACTGGCTGGAGTCCTGTAGGTTTCTTGTCTGCTTTGAGGAAAGCCCAGTTAGGATAACCGCACCGCTCCAGGGCCTGTCTTGTGTGGGAATTCTCCTCCTCCCTGGCTCCTGGGTTTGTGGGGACACTGTCTGCTCTGTGGTACAGAGTCCTGATGACTCCTAACTTGTGCTCCAGTGGGTAATGGGAGTCAAACTGCAAGCACTGGTTTGTGTGGGTGGGTTTGCGGTACATGAGCTTTTTATCCTACAACACCATATAGCCAAATTATACTCAAACAGAAACCCCCCAAAAATATGATCCTTGAGTTCAAATAAATTGAGCTAATTGGTGTGTTGTCAGACACACATCTGCTTAAAACTAAAAGCACTTATTTGGTAAAGAAAATCAGTACAAGAAAACATTTCATTTTACTTCTGATTTATCACAACGCTGCTTTTATAAATGTAGCTGCAGACTCCTGCTCTTTAGTTGCTTTGCTACCAGGGACTGAGTGCAGGTTTGTTCTTTTGGCACAGAAGTGTGAAAGCCTAACCACCACTGAGTCTCTCTGCTGTRCTACAATATTTGCGCAGTGTGAGACCAGAGGGTGTCTTGATAGCTGAGAGCGGGAGTACAAATCAGACTAGAACGATCAGCTGTGGTTGTGCTGCAGCGGCAGTTTCTGAAAAGCAGCTCGCATTCTCACCTTATACCAGTAAGGCTTTTCAAATCAACCCACCTTACTGTGCTCCTTTGTAATTAGACACATCTGCTCCTTATTGGTTGTTCTGCTAAATCAGTGTTTTGGTTTGTTTTGTCTGAACAGGTCGAACTGAACAGAAACACTTAGGCAAAGTTTAAAACCAAAGGCTATTCTGGAATTATAAATAAATTATAAATTTAAATCCAGCAAAGCCATTTATCAATTCAAATATTTAACTCAGCTGAAAGGAAAGAAAAATAAAAATCAATAATTTTGTTTAAAATAAAGGTCTAGCATTTCTTAAAGAAATGCATATTGCTCATTTCACCCGGGTTTTAAACTGAAATTGTTTTATGTCGACTCCGAACGTTAATGACTTGTAAATGTGCATCTACTGATTTCTGAGAGCTTAAGTTAATTACAATCCGYCCTGTGGCTTGTGAGATTTTTTGCTAACAGATACACAGCATTGACTCCAAATTTTTAGTGGCAAAATTTTAAACAAATACCATGAACATCTTTTGGCACTCTAAAAATAGGTTGCAGGATTAATGTCAGATATTACCACTAAGCTCAAAATCTGTCATAGACGATTTTGTGAAATTTTTGTTTAGTTGGCTGTGTTCACTGGGTATCACTGGGCATAGCAATTCGATACAACTTTTGATACAGAGCAGCTCGATTCAATTTAATTTCAATACATAGTACTTTAAACGTGTTGCTCAAACATCACCAAAAAACAAACAAACAAAAAACAACAGCACAGCTGTCGACCAATAGACAAGGGTAAACGCAGCTGCTAATTCAGGTGATAACTAAAGCGGTCTGYTTCACAGCAATATATTTYATGTTWAATACTTATGATTGATGTCATGCTGAACAGTAAATTCTGTCAAAGGAACACCTGTCAGTGCACGCCGTTTATAGGTATTTTATGTCAAACATTTTTGTTGAGAAAGTTTTTTTTGTCAGAAAGTTTTCTTTATTCAGAAAAGTGTGTGTCTAATAAAGGAAGTCAGCAGCCTACTTATGCTAGTCACTAGCCTCTCCGATGCTAACGCAAATGAATAGTCTCCTTTTCATTTGCCAGTGCTGGCCTCTCAGTTACTGGTGCCGGCCTATCGTTAGTCAGATCATTAGCTGGCTTAGGAGTAGATTAAGCCTCCTGCTACAAAGACATTTGCAACTGCTGGTTGCGCAATGGTCTTAATTTTGTCCCTTATACCACGCCATATGGATTTTAAAAAATATCAATATTTCGATTTTTGTGAACAGCCTTATGCTGCGTTCACACCGAACACGATTTCAGCTTCAAAATCGCAGCCAACGYTCGAGTTGGTCGCTTGTGCACTTTGAGGTCAGACGCAGGTCAGCTCTTGAAGCGCTGCACGGCAAGAGCCTCCCCGCCCCTCCCTCCTCTGTCGGGCTCTGTTTAATGTCGGACCAGGAAGTGACTGCTTTATTTACAGAGAGCAAGAGCATGTCACGTTCATCAGATAATTAATTCATAATTAATTCACCAGATAATTCAGAGACATTCCGAGTTTCATCACCCAGGAGCTGCGGGAGAGGCTCACAGCTCGCTTTCAGGACTATTTTTGTCC